CTGCCCAGTTTATGAAGCAGAATTGGAGGTTTTATCGAAGAGATTTTCATGCAGGCTTAAGCACATGGCTGAAGAAAGAAAGAGGCATTCAGAAGGAAGGAAGACACACCCACGTGCATAGGTATGGGTTTCTTCTCCAAGACTCATAGGAAGTAAGACACGCCCAAATATAAGGTCGGACTTCTCAATAGAAGGGTGCAATTAACTGTCCAAGCATTAAGCATAAACATTTAGGTAGCTCTCAAGTTACACCTTTTTGCTTTGCTTTTTTGAGGCAAGGTTGTTGTTCTGTGTAACAGCCCTGGCTGTCCTGGGACTGGCTTTGTAGACAAGCTGGCCTCGAACTCACAGAGATCCGCCTGCTTCTTAAAGGACTGTGTCATCAAGCCCAGCTTTCAAGTTAAATCTTAAATAGTTAATTTATTTTAGCCAGGTGGTTAATTATTTTATTTTAGCCAGGTGGTAATTAAAGGCACACGTCTTTAACCCCAGCACTTGGGAGACAGAGGCAGACAGATTGCTGAGTTTTGAAGCCAGCCTGGTCTACAAATTGAGTTCCAGAACAGCCAGGACTGTTACACAGAGAAACCCTGTCTTGAAACATTAAAATAAATCAATAAATAAAAATTTACTTTATTTTTAGTTCTTCATTTTCCTTCTCTTGATAAGAGAGATGATAGGCTTTGGAAAGGCCTTGAATGGAATTATAATCCGATAAAGTAAAACCGGGAGTCACCAAGGGAACATACGTGAGGTGTTTGCTCATATCCTGTCTCTGTAAAAGGAGTTTATGGTGAGATTCCCAGAAAACTGCAGGCTTACGGCTGGGAGGGATGACGGTCTTACACAGTTGTTATTTATCCTGGAATTATTCTCCCCAGACTCCAGAGGGAAGGGCTCCTCTCATTTCTCATGTTCCCAGGATAGTTCCCTGTCTTGTATCCTGCCTCACTGCAAGGACAGACAAGCTGAGCATTGGGAAAGACAAAGAACAGCCAGGACCCTTGTACACTGTCGACTTGAGATACAAATCACAGAACTCCCTGGCAGCAAACTCACACTCCTGCCTTGTAATTCAGACATTCCCGGGTTCCATGGTTGTACACACTGTAGGAGCACATTCACACGCTCTCCAAAACACCAGTTTCCAAACGGGAAATAGAGCAATGCACAAATTATGGAGGTTTAAACAAGAATGGCCCCCATAAGCTCATACATTTGAGTGCTCAGTTCCCAGTTAGTGGAGCTGTTTAGGAAGGTCTGTCTCGTGCTTGTAGATCAGATGTAAGCTCTCAGCTTCTGCTCCAGCACCATGCCTGCCTGCCTGCCGCCATGTTCCCCATGACAAAGGTCATAGAGTCACCCTCTAAAAACACACTCAACCCCCCAAATTAAATGCTTTCTTTTGGAAGCTGCATTGGTCATGGTGTCTCTTCACAGTAGGACAGTAATCACTCCATGGAAACATGCTTAGTTAACACAACTGAGCCATCTAGAAACCACTTTCCACAGACACAACAAATCTCTCAAAAGTAATAGCAGTGACAGCAGGTGAAGGGACAGCCATGAAGGGAAACTCACTCTGTAAGTTGACTGCAGAGCCAAGTGACCAGTTGCCTCCTAAGGTCCCACTACATAGTCCCTTTCACTTCATGTTCTCTCAGGCCCCACAATATCCAGGTTCACAAGCAAAACTAACCTATGGAACTAGAGGGCAAAGAAGTCGTTGGCTTTCCAAGATGCTGTTACACAACACAGTGAAATGAATGCACAATATCAATGTTTTCTAGAGGTAGAATTTACTTCAGTAATTTTTAACCAGATATGTTGGCACGGGTGTGATCCCAACACCCAGGAAGCTAAGAAAGGAGGATCTGGAGTTTGATGTCAGCCTAGGCTACAGATTTTTTTTTAAAAGCAATCCCCTCCTTTCATGTGGCTCAGACTTTAGAAGAATATTAAAGGCATGAGGTGGTTAATACTGATATCAGCTTGATGGGATCACATAGGAGACAAGCCTCCGCAAGATTCTCTTGATTAGGTTAATGGAGGTGGGAAGACCACCCTAAAAGTGAGCAGCACCATTCCCTAGGCTTGGGTCCCTAACTTCATAAAATAAAGCAGTGAGCTAGCCAAGTACAAGCATTCATCACTCTGTTTGTGCAGAAGCTACGTGACCAGCTGCCTCATCAAGCTCCTGCTCTCTTGACGCCAATTTTTGCTCTCTCTGGCCCCACAACATCCACACCAGGAAAAGTCCCACTAGACCTACTTCTAAAATACCTTTCTCCATTCCCAACTTGACTGTCTCCTCACTTAGCCACTTTAAGTGTCCAAACTAGTCCCCGAGGCTCCTCCCTCATCCCCAGCTTCATGCCCCTTTTAACACCATTCTTCACCCTGCAGCTGAAAAAAGCCACATGCTCTGGAATAATCTTTCTGTACACTATGAAGATGTATCTCTGCCAAGGCACCTTCTGATTGGCTTAATAAAAGAGCTGACTGGCCAGTGGCTGGGCAGAAGGTACAGGTGTGATAGCCAGACACAGAGGATGCTGGGGAGAAGGGTGAAGTCTGAAGAGACACCATGAGAGCAGGGTGGGAGTATGCACATGAGGTAAACAAGCCTTGGGCAGCACACACATGCACAGAAATGGGCTAATGTAAGCTGTAAGAATTAGCTAAAGACAAGCCTAACCTACAGGATGAGCATTTACAATTAATAATAAGCCTCTGCGTTGTTATTTGGTAACTGGCTGGCAGGACAGAAAAGCCCACCTAGAGCCGCAAATTGTGACTTTGCTTTTATTTTTAATGGTTCAAAAGCCTTAAAAATGTTGATATACAAAGTTGGATAGTGAAGGGTCTTTCTTCCACCCTTCCCCCACCACCCACTTCTGTCGGCTTGAACCCCTTCTTCTCACTAAGACTCCATGACAGTTAGCATGTCTTCCCAGGGTTGATGCAAAGCCAGCAGCAAGAACATGTGCATGTCTGCCTCTTCTACCCAAAAGAGGAAATGTGAGAGCTGTCCGCAACAAAAACATATCTAAAGGGAAAAGTGCTCATTTGATGCTACATGGACAAAGGGTCAGCATCTCTTCCCAAATGATTCTTTATTATTTCAAAAGACACAGCCACTTATATTTCAGTTATTTCTCATAAACAAGGCAAGACAAATCCCCAGAAGTGGAACTAGTGGCAGGCAGTACCAACTGTATCTTTGTATGGAATGAAGCAGGGTTTGTTTCTTTCTACAAAGTCTCATCAAGCAAACTCATTCCCAAACTTTGGGTTCTTGTCTGTTTTATCAAAAACTATTGGTATAGTTTTAATTTGTGTTTCTAATGCCACCAGATGGAACACCTTTCATATGCTTAGGAGGACACTGGTGGTTTTTCTCCTCGTGAATGATTATGTCATTTGTCCTTATTCCCATTCGGTTGCTGACTTTTTTTACTTATATATTCTGAAGCATAGACGTAAGGGCTCTGTTGCCAAGATACAGTAGGAAATCTCATTTTCATTGTTCTTATTTGTACATGTGTACAAGTTGCTGTGTGTGTGTGTGTGTGTGTGTGTGTGTGTGTGTGTGTACATACGTATGATGGGGTAATCTCAATTGTCAACTTGAGATCGAGAATCAGCCAGGAGACATGCATTTGGGTATGCCTGTGGGTGGACTATCTTCATTGGTTAATTAAAGTGGGAGGAGTTATCCACTGTGGGTAGCACTGTTCCCTTGCTTCTATGCCTTGGAGCTGTCTTCACTTCTGATCTATGGTGACTCAGTTTATTCATTCGAGCACAAAATATCATCTACCTTCCCTTCAGATGAGATCCTCAATAGGTCCTGGCTGCCCACAGGAAGCAAATTCACTTCAAAACACTGTCCAGCAGCTGACTGCGTTCCAAGAGGGGCCTCCATACAATGCTCAAAGCACAGGCTCACTGCAAAACAGGCAGTCCTACAATCTGGGTTAGTGGAGAATAGAATATGTAGAGGCCAGAAAGACAGGTAAACCTGGATATCTGCCCATACAGAGGGCCCAGGTATTTCCTAGGAATAGATGTCCTTCACAAGCCCCTTTCACTTTGCTACAAAACACAGTTTGAGTCCTGGTTACCTATCAGTGCTATCCCTCTTGCCAGTGTTTTCCCTCGCCCACTCCCTCTCTTCACACACACATAAACAGAGAGAGTGCCTCTTGGGATCAAAAGACTTACTTGACTTCTGGTAAAAAACAATCCTAGTTAGGTCAGAGGATCCCAGCTAGTGATTCTGGGAGGCTGAGTGCTAGGCAATGAGCCCCTTTCTACTGTTCATCAACATCACACCATTACACAGCGCTGGCTAGGGACACCAAAGGCAAATAGCCCAGACTTGATGCCAACCGAGGTCCCTGGCAGGGTCCTGTATAGGCAGACTTGAAGAACCAGACACCTTCTCCTCTTCAAATCAAAACCAATTCAAAGGAATCAGATGGCTAGCCACATATATGACTTAAAGTTTTCTAAGTTAAAAGAAACAGGTGGAACGTTTAGAATAGTTTACTTAGCCTAATATAATTACAAATGGTCATTTAAACATGTATGCAACATAGCGAAATATTTTAAAATAACTTTTCTATGTATTTATTTTTAGGGTGGAGCACTATGTGGAGGTCAGACAGAAGGCCTCCTTTCTTCCACCACGTGGGTTCCAGGGATTGAACTCAGGTTGTCACAATTGGTCGTGAATGTCTACACCCATGGAGTCATCTCACTGGCCTAACATATTGCAATATCCTACACTTTTTGAATCTGCATTTTACTTGAAGGCTAACAAAGTTCAACAGCTCATCTGCTCCCAAAGCACAGCTACAACCCTTGGAAGCCTAGCGCCAACCCAACCTTTCCCATCTACTTCCTAGCCAGCCTGAGGGGCGGGGCCAATGCGCAAGGAGGCGGGCGGCTCAGCAGCAGCACAGCCGGACACCCCCTGCGCTGAGCCCACTAACCTCGCCACCGCCTCCACGGAGCCCGCAATGGCGGTTCCGCCGCCTGCGCCGCCGTCATACAGCACGCCGGAGATGTCAAGCAGCACACCCCGCACGCCTGCTAGCCGCTTGGCCCACGTAGCCATTGCGTCCCTCTGTACACCCTGGACCCGGCGTAGCAGCAGCCCGTATCTTTCAGCCACGCCTCCCACGCGCGACTCTCTGGGAAATGTAGTCCGAGGCTGGCGAGCCGGGCGCAAACCGGAACCACGGTGACCCGCCTGGCTCTTGGCTGTGTTCCTTCTCAGAGGCACTAATCTGGGCACAGCATAAAAGCTGAGAACACGTACCCCGAACGTCTCCCTAAGAGTCCGGACGAGACAAATTGAAATGAAAAGTAAAGCCTCCTGGAAGGGATGGGTCTCACCTGTAATTCCAGCAGGACTGAGAGAATGAGGCTAGGGCTCACCAAGATGCCACAGAGGTTAAGGTGCCTAACAACTGAGTTCGATTACCGGAACCCATAAGATAGAACATGGAAACCAAGTCCTGCACATTGTTCCCAGAGCTCCATGAGTGCATGCATATATCCATATTAATTAAATAAATGACATTTTAAGTATTGGAAGCCAGCCTCACCGCAATATTGAGATTCTGACTCTAAAGTGAGAGAGGGAGAGATCTTGCAAGCAGTTGAATAGTTGGCATAGTCCTGCTCCTTAGAAACACTAAAGGAACGATTACAAACAGGATAACTACAGAGTAAATGATAATGCCAAGACAAACTGAAAGAAAATAGTAATAGGGGTGGGAAGAAAATGAGAATGACACTGTGTTATATCAGAAAAAAAAATTTTTTTTTTTTGTTTTGTGTTTTGTTTTTCCAGACAGGGTTTCTATGTGTAGTTTGTGGACCAGGATGGCCTCGAACTCACAGAGATTTGCCTGCCTCTGCCTCTGCCTCTGCCTCTCTGCCTCTGCCTCTCTGCCTCTGCCTCTCTGCCTCTGCCTCTCTGCCTCTCTGCCTCTGCCTCTCTGCCTCTCTGTCTCTCTGCCTCTGCCCCTCTGCCTCTGCCCCTCTGCCTCTGCCTCTGCCTCTGCCTCCCAAGTGCTGGTATCAAAGGCATGTGCTACCACTGCCCTGCTCAAGCAGTAAAAATTTTAATAAATTCTAACATGTCATTTAATGTTGTATCATGTGTGGCGATACATTATTTATGAATTATTGAAGCTTGCACAGGAGTTCAGAAAGCAAAGCTAGTAGCCACAAGCCATAGAGGTCAGGCAATGGTGATATACACGTTTAATCCGAGGCTCAGGAGACAGGCAGATGGATCTCTCTGAGTTCAAGGCCACCCAGGCCACTCATGCCTTTGATCCCAGCACTTGGGATCACAGGCCTTTAAGCCCAGCACTAAGGAGGTAGAGACAGGAGTGATTTGGCTGGGCAGAGGGAGGAATATAAAGAGGATACTATAGGAACTCAAAGGTTTTGCCTCTAAAGATATGTGGAGATAGGACAGTCCTTTCAGCCTGAGGTAGAGGTAAGAAGTAGTGGCTCTGTGCTTTACTTCTATGATTTTCAGCTAAAGCTTGAACCCCAATATCTGTCTCTGGGCCTCTTAATTTTTGTGTTATAATCATGTTTGCCACAAACACTGATAGAAAAAAAGAAGGGTTAGCCAGGCGTTGGTGGCACATGCCTTTAGTCCCAGCACTTGGGAGGCAGAGGCAGGCAGATCTCTGTGAGTTCAAGGCCAGCCTGGTCTACACAGCTAGTTCCAGGACAGGCTCCAAAGCAATACACAGAAACCCTGTTTCAAAAACAAAAAACAAAATAAATAAATAAATACAAGTAAATAAAAGAGGGGGGTTTCCTAGACTGCCCCTGTGAAGTAATAAATTTAAACAAGGAAAGACTTCCTCCATTTGAGGCATTTGAGAGTTCAAAGGAGAGGGATTGCGTTCTGCTTCCATTCCAGGCTCCTATTTCACAGAAAGAATAAAGAATTCATTGGAACACTAGGTGTCTGTTTAGCACATGTATGCCTAATGCCTGTGGAAGTCAGAAAAGGGCATCAGATCCCCTGAAACAGGAGTTATGGACCATGGTGAGCTGCCATATGGATGCTGGGAATTGAACAAGGATCCACTGAAAGATCATCTTAACCACTGAGCCATCTCCAGCCCCACAGAATGTTGGATCTTTAATCCATAGCAATGTGTTGTGCATTATTCTTTTGATGAGCTTACTGGAGGACCTGTTTGCAAGAGAAATACAAGGTATAATGCCTATCCTGAGTAAGTTTGTTAGAATTATACTGTATTGAGAGACGAGAGAAGCCACTCCAGCTACAAATTATTTGTTCACACCAGGCAAGAAGGAGGTTACAGATTTTGGCTTAGAGGGTACACGCTGAAGAATCAGGGTGGAGTCACACATCTGTGAGAAATGGCTACATGCTCTGTTCCTTTGACAGTCCTACTCCATTGCCTGTTTGTAAGATGTTGGGGACCTAATAGAAAAGCCTCTGCCTCCGCTGAAGCAGAGAACAAAATACTTTCAACACTGTCTTCCTGTGCTTTCAGCATCTAGCCGGACCGCACCCAGTCTAGTCTGCAAGGGAATCTGGGTCTTTCCAGACTGCAGGATAAGAGTTGAGTGAGTCCAACTGAAGAATCTGCCAGAAGCTTCTACCCCACGCAGAGGATTCTTGTGGTACAAAGTGACCTAAGATGTAATTTTTGCCTTCAGAGATCAAGATGATCGGAGGATAAGATAACACCTTCAGGACAGCTGGGCTGATGTGTGCCAAGTGACAATGAGTGACAGAGATACATCCTAGAAGATAAATGCTGTGGGCTGTGGGCTGTGGGTGGCAGCAATGGCTTCTAAGCAGACAAGAGGTCTGAAGTAGATTTTGAAAGAATGCCTGACTCTAGGTTCATGACCAGGAAGATAAAGGATATGTACCTTTGCCACCTCTGCCAATGATGAGCGTGTCTGTGCAGTTTTGTCCTCTCAGCTAGCTCAGTGTGGGACCTGTCACTCTCTAGGTAAACAGAAAAATGGAGAAAAGTCGGTGACCCCTTGGGATGTCTACATCTTGATACCCAGAACCTGCCAAGGCATCAGTTTATATGCTAAAAGGGGGCTTTTGCAGATGTGGTTGTACCCATGACAGTGTGGGGAGATTAGCCTGGCTGATCCAGTGGGCCCAACATAATTACAAATGTTATCATTAAAGAAACTAAGAGACAGGAGTTAGAAGCAGAGGAGATATGCCAACAGCAATGGGGGGGGGGGTGTTTCAGTGCCAACCTTCAAAAAGAAAGGGGCATGGACCAAGGGAAATGGGAGCCCCCTGGAGGGCTTAAAAAGAAAATAGATGCCCCTAAATCCTCTACAAGAAAAGCCGACACCTTCGTTTGAGGACTTCTAATATCTAGACTTGTGCCAAATAATAAATCTGTCACCTGAAGCCAGTGAATGTACACTATTTGTTACAACAGAGGTAGGGAATGGATCCAGAGATCCAAGTTTGGCACAGTAGCCCAGACCTGCAAGGCTCCACATATTATCTACCTGGTCCAAAATTCCAAGAACTTTGAATGTAATGGGAAAAAGGCGTTGTCTAACTTAGAATCACATCTGGCTTCATGCAATAGCTGGACTGGGTTAGTTTTTCTCACATGCAGAGACCTGAAAGAAAGGCAGCTTTGGCCAGTACAACAGCCTCCAGTAGCAGCAGGCAGTAGGCTGCATCCATCTTTCTCCATCAGCACCTGCACCTCCAGCAGGAGGTTCTCAAGATTCTGGCTGCACTCCTGGGGTGGCTTCTGCATTTCAGACACAGAGGGTGGGGAAGAGGAAACAAAGGCTTCCCCAGGCTCCAATCCCCAAGAGACTCCTTTTGCACCTCCTGGGTCAGACTCCAGTGGTCCAGTAACACTGGAGTGTACGTGGATGCACACCCCACTAGCAGCTTTGGGCTTCATTCTTTCCCATTAACCAATCTGCAGCCATGGCTGAATTTCAGCTCACATATGAATGGATCAATTCTTGATTACTATAGCAGATGTACGTATAATCCTATCAGACTTACTCCTACTAGCCAGGGCTCTGGTTAGCCAGTGACAGGAAGCAAATTCCTGCAGCTTAAATTTCAAAGGAATTCATTGGCATTCCAGCAATTAATTGAGAAAGCTCTGTCATAGCTGGTTACCAGTTACAGGGAACAGAGGGCCAGGTCAACCGTCCTGTGAAGAATCTTTTCTCAACTTGATCTGACAGTTCCAGAAAGAACTCTGACTCTCTTAGGTCGGGGACCTCCCACTCTCTATATTCAGAGGAAAAGTGGAACTTTGAAGATTCAGGCTGACTCATGTGTCCTACCAGGGCTGTAGGAAAGAGCATTTGTATTCAACTCTGCCTTGGGTGTGTGGAAACAGGGATGCTGTGCTTTGACTCTGCAGTGTCCGAGAGAGGTTCATGTTTTGAATACTTGCTTTTTAGCAGGTGGTGCTGTGTTTGGGGCTGTTGTGAAACTTTAGGAGACTGGTCTAGTTGGCACAAGTAAGTTACTCCGGATGGGTCTTTGAAGGTTATACTCAACCCTTGCCCTCTACTTCTCTGGTCATTAGTGACATGAACAGCGGCTTGTGAATCACACTTCTAACACGAAGGCTTTGTCATACCTACCCTCCCACAACACACCAAAACCCTCTGAGACTGCAAGCCAAAACAAACTTTTTCTCAGGTTGTTCCAGGCAGGCGTTGTGGTTGTGGGGTGCAAAAGTAACTACCACAGCAAAGAGCTGAGCAATCATGACAAGAGGAAGAAGAAAGCAGGAAGCCACCCTGTACAGGCAGAAATACTAGGACCTTTTGGGTTTTTTGGTTTTTTTTTTTTTTTTTTTTTTTTTTTTTTTTCTGGTTGGTTGGTTTGGTTTTTAGTTTTTTGAAGCAGGGTTTCTCTGTGTAGCAATAATCCTGGCTGTCCTGGAACTCACTCTGTAGAGCAGGCTGGCCTTGAACTTACAGAGCTCTGCCTTCCTCTGCATCTAGAGTGCTGGGATGAAAGGTGTGTTCTTATTATCAAATCTTACCTACCTTGAAAAGTGAGACGACCAAACCAAAGGATAGCCATGTGAGCAAAGGAGGCCTGTCTTTCTGATATGGGCTAC